TCAGTCAGTTGAGCATCTGACTCTTGATTTCAGCTCCAGTCATGATCTCAGGGTCCTGGGGCTGAGTCCTACTAGTCCTGCCCTCAGTCCTGCCACTGAGTCCTGCCTTCCTGCTCAGTGGGGAGTCAGCTTCTCTCTCTCCCTCTATGTTTGCTCTTTCTGTCTTTCTCTTTTTCTCACTCTCTCACTCTCATTCAAGCAAAATAAATAAATCTTTAAAAAATAAATAAATAAAATTTGAAAATAAAAAAAAAATGCAACATTACTGCTGGGAATTTGCCCCAAAGATACAGATGGAGGAAAACGCCGGGACACCTGTACCCCGATGTTTCTAGCAGCAACATCCACAATAGCCAAACTGTGGAAGGAGCCTCAGTGTCCATTGAAAGATGAATGGATAGAGAAGATGTGGTCTATGTATACAATGGAATATTCCTCAGCCATTAGAAACGATAAATACCCACCATTTGCTTCAACGTGAATGAAACTGAAGGGTATTATGCTGAGTGAAATAAGTCAATCGGAGAAGGACGAACATATGGTCTCATTGGGGAATATAAAAATTAGTGAAAGGGAATAAAGGGAAAGGAGAGAAAATGAGTGAAAATATCAGTGAGGGAGACAAACCATTAGAGACACTTAATGCTGGGAAACGAACTAGGGGTGGTGGAGGGGGAGGTAGGTGGGGGTTGGGGTGGTTGGGTGACGGGCACTGAAGGGGGCACTTGGCGGGATGAGCACTGGTGTTATGCTATATGTTGGCAAATTGAACTCCAATAAAAATTTTTTTTAATTTTAAAAAGCAATATTTTCAAAATCTTCAGATAGAGAAGTCCTTCTAAGTGAGATAGAATCAGAGAACAAGGAAGTATAAAAGGAAAAACTAGACATATAAATTGAATGATGAAATGCATCACAAAGGAAAAAAATTGACATAGTGTAAGAGAAAATTCTGTTAAAAGTGTGCTACAAAATGAATTAATATCCCAATGTCCAAAATATACAGGAAAATATAGTAGGAAAAATATTTTGCCCATTTTCTGTTAGATTTTTAATCTTTCTTTTTTTAATCAGTTAATACTTCACAAAAGAAAAAATACAAATAGCAAATGTGTATGAAAAGATGAACAAGCAAATTGAACTAGTACTGTAGCAACTTATATATGCTATCGGACTGTCAAAAACTTAAAAGATGTATATGACTCATCATCATGGAGGGTTTTGAGGGGATGGACACTTTCATACATGGTTATGGGGGGCTAAAATGGTAACGTTTTTGGAATACAGTTTGTAATCTTTATCAAAAAATTTTATACTTTGTGAACCCCAAATTCCACTTACAGGTATCTATCCTATAAAAATGCACATATATACATCAAAAGACTATTCAAGGCTACTCATGGTAGTCTTAATTATAATAGTGGATGATTAGAAACAATGGAATAAAGCTCCCCAGACTAACTTGTAGAAATCAGTCGAGAACAGAATGCAGTTCTGTTCATATATATATACGTGTGTATGTATACACACTATAGGGAAGTATATATATAAATATATAAATATAAATATAAATACATATATATATAAAACTCTATGGAAATGTAAAGAAAAAGTGGCTGGATTTATGCACACCAAATAAGAATTTTATCTGTGAGGAGAATAAACATGATGAGAAAGTATGAAAGAGAGTAAAAGAAATCTTTTACATTGTATTGCTCTTTTTTTAATCTTATACAATGAGACTGCACGCATGTGGTTTTTATGTATTTAAAAACAACTATAAAAAGAGTACCTAAGAATATGTTGACTTAATTGCACGAAAGAATAGTAGGCATGAAAGCTTATAGTTTGAATAATTAATAATTACCAATGCATGCAACAGATATATATACCAGCACAGTCTTGTGCTAAAGACTAAGTTAGGCAGTAGTAACACAAGGATGAGACAAAGCCCTAAACATCATCAGGGGCTTGGAAAGGGACTGAGTTGCTGTAATACAGATCCACAGGATGTTACCTATTCTTACTAGAGAAGACAGATTTTAGGCACCGGAGTGCATGTGAATCTTTTTTTTTTTTTTTTTTTTTTTTTGTGGCTACTAATATTCCTAACAAGCAAGAGAGGGGTTGGGAGTGGGAAGGAATTTCGCATAATGGGCAAAGCCACTCTGACCTGAGGTCATGGGCTCTGCTGGGCCATGTTTGCTGTTGAATCTCACCCCTGCCCCTCACTTTAAAGCTGTGCAACCTTTAGTTAAATGACTTAGCTCCTCTTAACCTCTATGTCTCAGCTATAACATGACTAGAGTAACCACCTCCATTCCAAGGGTTTACTGAGAAAACTGCACAAGGCCATTCATAAAAGCCTCAGCATAGTACCTGTAACATACATTTTAATAAATATTTGCTTTTCTTCCTCTTGTCATCTTTAAAGAAGCCCAAAAGAGCATGCCATGCTTCAGAAACTGAAAGAAGGTTTGGTAGCAAAACTATGAAGCATTTCTAGGAAACCGTGACCTACGAGAACCATCAACGCCAAGGAAGTGCCGGGCATTTGCCTGTCTAAATCTGATTCTGTGTTCATTCACTTGCATACTAATCGGACAATTATCTCATTATCAGTAAAACAAATTTTAATATACATTCAGTGAGATTTGCATATTTTCCTGGTGAGTTTGTACAAATGACAACGAAATTATTTACTTCAAACACTGAAGGCTTCCAAAACTGAAATCGAAAGCAGTGTTCTATCTTAGTCCACTAGGAATTTAATTAAAAAAAAAAATTCGTCCACCAGAATTAAATAAAGTATTCCATTAAAAAGTAATTTAATGCAGATAAATCAAAGACCCCCTTCCTTTCAATTTTCATCTGCCCTCCAACTTTAGGACATTACTACTCATATGCTTTCTTACCATCATTGCAAACCCATAAGAATTCACATGAATATATATATATATATATATATATATATATATATATTATATTTTTACTATTGCTGATACATATATTATTTATTATATATATTATAATATTATATATATGATATATATAATTATAAAGCCAGGCAATATGGAAAGACTGAAGGGATTTTAAACAGTAGTTCACATGAATATATATACAATAAATATATGATATTTATATGTATGTATTATACATCAGCAGTAATAGGATCTATTATAAGAAAAGAGTTAATAGCTTTGGGCTCTTTTTTTCAATATTTAAGAGATTTATTAAAGCATCTTATCACAAAGATGAAAACACATACAAATTAGAAACATGCAAGCGTCATTTTCCACAGTCAAGTTAAAATGTTATATATTTTTCCTGTTTTCACAGCTGAAAACTTCAGATCTTATGCCTGACTCACTCACCCTGAATATTTAATTCATTCTTCCTGAAAGTATCCAGGGTAGCAAATAACCAAAATGCAAACTATTATATAAAGAAAGTGCAAAATTAAAAAAGAAAATGTGTAGAGAATACCCCCTCCCCCCTTAAAGGCAAACAATGGCACTTTGCTCTTGCTTAACCTAGATTGTCTCCAGAAACTATTAAAATGTAATAGACTTAACCCAAAAAAAAAAAAAACCCCAAACCTGACTTTGAATAGATGTCCAAAAAGCTTGTTAGTCTTTAAAAATAAATGCTTAAACAAAGGAAAATGTATTTTATATCAAACAAGTTTGAAGAGCCCTGTATTGCAGCATTCTGTAAAATAAACAAGACAAAAAGCTGGTATAGGGTTTATTGACAAAGTCTGTAGCCAGACTACCTGGACCAAAGCTCTGCTCCTGTCAATGACTAGCTGCAATCGTATCCTTAGGTAAGATACTTATCTGTGACCTCCCTGAGCCTGTGTTCTTACCTGTAAAATGGGAATAATAATAATACCTATCTGTACACCTTATAAGGTTGTCGTGAGAATTAAATCACGACATGTACAACAGTTAGAACAGTGTCTGCACCCTCATGAGTGTTTAAGTAACTGGTCGTATGCGGTTTCTTCTAGTTCCCAAACCTTTCTTCGTGGTGTTCTCAACATAATTCTCTCCTTTTTTCCTGCTTCTCTTTCAATCCAATGTTACGTTAAGTATACTGTCTTATTGGCTTTCTGTACTTTTTAAACATCTATGTCAAAATAATCTTCCTCTCCTACGGAACACTCAGTCTTTATGTCTTACTGTAGAGTCAAAGCTACATCTTTATCATTACCTTGGACATTGCTATCTTGGTGGGCCTTCCTCCAGCACTATTATTTCTAAATCTTTGCCCAATACTATCAAATTATTAAAATGAAAACTGCATTTGGATGTGAAACGATTCAAAATGCTAAAAAGGACTGAGTTTATTATACTGTTTAATCACAACATTGAGTAAATACCTTGGGTTTACAATTAACATTATTTTAAAGAAATAATTGTTTAGTGACTATTCGAAGGAATAACTCATTTTAACATTATAAGTCTAATGATGAAAATAATGTAAATATTACTCTAGCAAATACAACTAAAAGCTTCTGCTATAAGATTGATACACATTTTGTCCAGAACAGCTTTACTCTGTGGAATATTTATTTTTGTCTTGCAGCACAGGCTTCTCATAATGAATCACATTCAAAAAACATTAAAAAAAGATATACGAGTGTACGTTAGGAAAAAAATTGCTGTTGCTTGAAGGTATTTTCCATCAAAAATTAAATATGGCACAATGGTCATTTTGTAGAGTTCATTAATGAAATTGGGAAGGGATTATTAATCTCCAGTGTTAAATTGAACTTACAGTCAAAATTGATCAAGCTTCTCCTGACTCAGAAATACCCTATGGCTACTATCGATCAAGAGTTTGGGACACTGATTATAATTCATATCCAAATACAAAAAAAGTGAAATAGAAATTATTTTTAAAAGCATTCTTATTCAAAACATACGGTATTTAGCTTAATAGAGGAAGCCTTATGGACATCAGTTATCTTTGTGAAGATCCACTGGAAAACATACCTGGCTAGGCTGAAGGCATCATCGATCAAACCTGCTCTGTTACTCACAGAGAGAACCTATGAGATCAACAAAGAAAAAAGAAAAAAAAAAGGAATCCTTTAGGATTAAAATGGAAGGTGTTCACATATTGAAACAGATCTTCAATGAGTAAATCCAGTTTACCTGATGGTTCCTGATTAATTGATCAATTAATAATCTCCAATTCCTTAAATCATAGTTGACTCTAAAATAGCCAGTTTGATTGATGTTCCCCAGCAACCAGTTTCCTTTGTCCAAAGTTATCCTGTGGTGTTCTGAAAACAGCATTTTGGGGGGGGGGTAATTTAGGATTATGGGTTAAAATGATATGAAGTATATTTTCTAAAGAACAGATACTACAGTACCAATAATTAAAAGAGAACTAACTCCATCACAAATACCTAATTGAAATCTACTCTTTCATCAATTCACCATTATATCTAGAACTCACTAGAAAACCTTTAGTTGGTGACTCATTGTTACCTCAATTAATTGTTTTCTTACAATTAACATTTTTTGTTCTTGATTAAAAACCCCATTACCCATACACAATGTTCTTCTCAAGATGAATGTCACCAAGAAATCTCCTGTATTCATGTGGCTTCTAGTTAGACTGTACTTGAGTATGGGGCTAGAATACAAGAAAAGGTTTTAGGTGCACATTCTACTTATTTTATTCAGTAAGAAAGTGATTATAACAATAAGGCTCATTTATTTTAAAGTCACTATTGTTTCTTGCCTTTTCTCTTGTGCTTTTTGGGAAGTACTAATAAATAACAGACTTTTCAGCATCATCAATAATGTTGGAAAAAGGAAACTCATTTGTTTAAGATTCTAATATTTCTACATATAATTAGAACGAAGATAATAAATTCTGTTTATTGGAATCGCTTTGGAAAATGGTAACTTGATTATATTCCCCAGCTAATTCAATTAAAGGAAGCCAGTAAAAGCAATCTTATAACATATATTTAACTCCTTCAAATGCGGTGCAGAGAACTCCATTCACCTTAATGTCAGCCTCTGTTGACTTTACAGAACCACAGCTTACAATTCTAATCATTTTGTGGATGTCCTCAGGACGCATGGTTCATTGGAGTTACAAAATGTATTAAGTTTATTTAAAATTCATATTTTACATACATACACACGCCAGTCTACCTAATTTCCACAATGACACAAAACCAGAAAATACATCATAGAACCCATCTGCATCAGTTCTGAGACGCACACTCTCCAATTCTCACTTTATTATCAAGGTTTCTGCACATGAGGCTACGAGACAGGTTTTCTTTTTGAAACACTGCAAGTCTCAAGTGGAAGCCATACACAGGAAGGGGGCGTGACCATAAAAGTCACTGGGTGAACATTAATGACTATTAATTGCTCAGGTCTGGAATGGGGTGGGCTCCTTAATCTCATGCATGTTACATTTTGCCAATTTTCATAAATGTACAGTAAAACCAAAAATGTATGCTGAAAAATGTAATCTTTTTTTTTTTTTGAAAAATGTAATCTTTAATGTTCCCAATAGCACGTCAGCCTTTGGCCTCTTTTATAAATAGTATCTATTGGAACAGATAAAGAAATGAGCTCAGGGATGCCTGGGGGGCTAAGCCAGTGAAGTGTCTGCCTTCGGCTCAGGTCATGATCCGGGGTCCTGGGATTGAGCCCCACATCGGGCTCCCTGCTCAGCATGGGTCTACTTCTCCCTCTCCCTCTGCCTGCCACTCCCCTGCTTGTGCTCTCTCTCTCTGTCAAATAAATAAATATGAAAAAAAAAAGAAATGAGGCTCAGACAGGTTAACCAAATTGTCCAAGAAATCTGGAAATGGTCTGTCTCCGGTCTCCTGACTCCAGTATCCTTTTTACTGTATTTTACTCTATTGGTACAAGACAGGACAGCATTTTTAATGTGATACAGTAGTTATTTCTCACATTTTTATATTGATTTGAAAAGGAGGGACATAGCACTGGAAATAAGAATTAGAACGGGAGCAAGACAGTTAGATTTTTGTTCCAGTTCTCCTAGACTTAAATGTTTGAACTTAGGCCACTCATTTGACCCAAGGGTCAAGCAATAGCATTTAAGGTCTCTTCCAATTCCGTGACTCAATGGAAGAAGAAACTGTTTTCCTCAGTTTGAAATTTTACCCAGCTTCATCTCTGCTACTTAAAAAAAATAAATATACCAGATACTGCTCTAGAACACTAAGTTTCCCAAGTTTCTGGTACTTTGTTTTTGTATATTTTTCAAAACTTTTTTTAAAATTTTTTTTTTATTTATTTATGATAGTCACAGAGAGAGAGAGAGAGAGAGAGAGAGAGGCAGAGACACAGGCAGAGGGAGAAGCAGGCTCCATGCACCGGGAGCCCGATGTGGGACTCGATCCCGGGTCTCCAGGATCGCGCCCTGGGCCAAAGGCAGGCGCCAAACCGCTGCGCCACCCAGGGATCCTTCAAAACTTTAACGTAATTATCAGCACAATTGCTTTGAAGCATTGGAATGCCCCCCCCTTTTTGTAGATATACAAACAAAATCAACAAAAATATGACATTTTATTTTTTTAAAGATTTATTTACTTATTTATTCATGATAGAGAGAGAGAGAGGCAGAGACACAGGCAGAGGGAGAAGCAGGCTCCATGCTGGGAGCTCAACGGGGAACTTGATCCCAGGACCCTGGGGTCACGCCCTGGGCCAAAAGCAGGCGCCAAACCACTGAGCCACCCAGGGATCCCCAAAAATATGACATTTAAAAAAACTAAAGCTTATAAAGAGGGATTTTAATGAATCATGTCCAAATTCAGTGGAAAAAAAATTAAGATTAAAATATTGAGGATACTGTTTCTCTTGAGTAATCCTAACTCTATCTTGAAGAATACTAAGATTTTTATAACAACACGTATTTAAATTGTGATTAAATTCACTTGGGTTAGGCGCTCACTTTGGCAATATGTATACTCAATTAGCTTGGGTTAAGAATAAATTTGATCACTTTTATCTAAAAAGTGGTTATTTTTTTGAAGAAATTACATTAATCAAGAATCGAGGTTAATATATGAATACACAACTTAGGTTTTTACAATTCTGAAATAGTCAATGGAATCCTATGATATTAAATATAATTTTTAAAGTTATTTCTTGTTCACATTTTAGGGAGCTGGCACATTTTAACCTCACGTGATACACTCGGCTCTAACTGGGTGTTGGGCATTAAGGAGGGCACTTACTGTGATGAGCACTAGGTGTTATGTGTAAGTGATGAATCGCTAAATTCTACTCCTGAAACTAATATTACACCGTATGTTAACTAATTGGAATTCAAATAAAAACTTGAAACTATAAAAAATTAAAAACTTATTGAATTCAACTTACAGGTAGAAGAGAGACAGATTAAAATAGGAAAACAATTCCTATACCTTCTCTGTCATCTGATAAGAATAAAAAAGGCAGGCATCTATTGTTTTTAAGTATGTTATTATTTAATTGATAACTAAAACCTGAAGGCTATTACTGTTCATGAATATATTTATGCCTTTGATATAAATGAAATCTTTGGAGAAATGATTCCCTGAAAGATTTTGTAATAGATTTTTAAATGTCTTTTTCATTCTAGTTAATTATATCTTTAAAATGTTCTTCAAATTAACTAACGGCAAGCAATGAATTTTAAAGAGATCTTTTCCAATGGCCTAATGAGGGATGGTATGTGATGAGTACCAAAATAAAAAGTAAGGAAGTTATATCTTGAATGTTAGTTTAAAAAGATATTTAGAATGTATCCAAAATGGCACAAAATTTAGATTATATTAAGGCACAGACTAGTGGGAATTTTATAATATTTTGTTTTTATATTCTATACTTCAAGGATAAAAACAAAAAGGCAGATTGTCTTCCTACTTGGTATTGGCTGGTTGCAGAAAAATCAGAATTTAAAACAAAATGTCAACCAAACTAACGAGGGTGGCAATGTAAAAAGAACTCAGCTATAATAACACATATTGGTTTTCTCACTGGACTTGTGTGAGGATCAGATTAGAAAAGACTCTATGGAACCCTAAGGAACCATGTGTGGGTTACAATGGCAACAAGTTGAGTAATTGGCACATTGGCAAAGCAATCTACCAAAGCTTTAAAATTGTGTGTGTGTGTGTGTGTGTGTGTGTGTGTGTGTGTGTATTTGTGGTTTAGAGGGAATAAGTTTAGAAAAGAAAACCAAGTCCCTAAGACAATTTGGGCAAGTTATTTCTCAAGCCTTAACCTCCTCATTTGTAAAAATATGGATAAAAATAATTCATTCTAAAGGCTTGTGAGTCTTATATAAACCACTGCTTGGTGCAAGGCCTGTATCATCACACTATTTTTAATGTTTACTTGTAATTTCAGCATCAATTTCCTTTATTTTGAATCTTTTCCTTCCTGACATTTGGCATTAAATTCATTGCCTTCCTTTACACATTAATTAATAGTCAACACACAAGCTGTTATATTTTGTAAACATCTGCATTCTCAGTATTTCAGTAGTAAAAACAAAAGAGATAAATCCTTTTACCTGCTTTCAGTAATTTAAAAATCGGTTAAAAACTATTTTAGGGTAAAATGAACTATGCCTTAACTTGGAATTAATTAGATATTTATCTAAAGGGTTTAAAAATTGAAGTGTCAAGAGTAAATGATGATTCAAATCAAATTTATACCTTATATTATTCACCATGACTGTGCCTTAATACCTGGTAAGATCAAATCTATATTCATGACAATGAAAAATTATAAAGACATTGATCTTATTGTTATAACTAAAAGGTAGACTTTTAAAATATAAGGTTGATAAGAATTGACCAGAATATTCTCTTAATGATTTTTGGAAAAAAATTATTATTGATATTAGCTAACTATATTTTTATTATTATTTATTTATTTTTAGAGAGGGAGGAGGGGCAGAGGGAGAAAAATCTCTAGCAGACTCCCTGCTGAGCTCAGAGTCCAACACAGGGCTCAATATCACGACCCTGAGATCATGACCTGAGCTGAAACCAAGAGTCAAACGCTTACCCAACCGAACCACCCAGGTGTCTCTAGTTAACTGTATTTTGAAAAAAAAGAGAGAGAAAAGTAATAACACATAAAAGAAGACAAGAGTTACCAGTCTTTTATCTCCCTTGTCTGTATCCTGTGTCAGTTTTTTACTTGCCATCAGAATGAAGGACTTTAAGACAAAACTAAAGACAGAATGAGATTGAACAGGGAAAACAGAATGGTTGCCTTTCTTTTAGGTCCCTCTTGGAAGCTTCTTCCAGATTTATGTATTTATGAAGTTTTCAAGAAACATTTACTTGGTATGGGAATTCCCCACAAAAGCATCAACACTTCAACTGGGACAATGTTTCATCAACCAGAAGACTCTGCTCTGATTTAATGGAAACTGGCTCACTGTAGGTTGCAAGACTTTGGGGTGAGGAAGTGTGCCATCAATATCAGAGTCAATGGAAATATCATTTCCCAGAGCTATGCACTGCACACACGATGTAGTGTGTAGGACATGTGTATTAATACAGGTGACATTTTAGGCAAATGTATGCTTTGAACTATCACGTTGTTATTATTCCTGATTAATAATGAGAGACTACAAATGGAAACAACGTCTCAAATACACCTGTGGTTATTGGTCAAGAAAAGTTGGGAAGCTACTCTGGGTATTCAGTATGAAACAAGAAGGTACCATGAGTAACAGCATGCAAATACTAGGGAGTTGGAGGAAATGGATGTAGGGAAAGTATCCAAGAAGAATCAGACTTGCCTTGAATCCCTACACCCTCTAAAAGTGACATTTTGGCCTAATCCTGACTTTTGATCAGTACCTTTGCACTGTCCCATTTCCATTGTCCCTTTGAACGAGAAATGTTTTTTGCTTGGTTTCTAAAAACTGTTCTATTTCATGTTCCTAGCAATCCTATGGAGGATCTAATAGATCATTATGTTAATGACTCACTGTTTTCACTCATCATTTCATAACAAATTATGTAGATAAACAAAACAACGATATGAAAGTAAAAAAGTAGTAAAAAAAAAAAAACCCACCCAAATAATACAGTAAGTGTGAATTCAGAATCATGGTATAAATGCTAACTCTAAGAAATGAAAAGAATAGATTATAATAAGTAATTTTAAAAGGAGAAACACCAATAAATTTTAAGGGAAGCATTTCAGTTCATCACCACATTACTTATGAATCTTTTATACACGTGTATATAAATAAAAGCACATTTTCATAATATGTGATTATGTGTTAAAAATACAATAACATAAAAATTTGAATAAAAATTCAACTGAAAACACAAGCTTTCATATTTCTGGTAAGCAGATTAGATTTTTGCTGTGAGAACTTTTTCTTGTATACAGGTATCTTGCGCACTCACATCTCCTTTATGATAGCAAGACTAAGGGCAGAAACAATGTTTGTTATTTATTTATTTATGCCTCATTTATTGCAGAAAGTTTTCAGTGGCTGCTTACGGTGGTTATGAAATGACAAGATTAATTAGCAGAACAGAAGACAAGAGAAACAAAATGTGGACATACTCGACCATCTTAATCCAAATAAAACATTACATAAAAGATGATATTTGGCTTTTTCTCCAGTTCAATGGAAAACAGAAATTAAAGAGACCTGTCTCACATCTAGCATGAAGGATTTAGATTGAATTCAAGAAATAGCTTTCTGACTGTGCATTGAATAGGTCGCTATCTTATCTGAAGATATTTAGAAACAGAATAGAATGTCATCTTTCTCTGCTCCTTGAGAGTTGACCCTAATTTAGGAGGTGCTTTGATGACCTATCAAGGCCCCTCCCTTCTTTCCCTATAATTATAATTTTATGGAGAATATCTCCTCGTCCATTCTTTAAAGAGCCAGTCTGGCAAAAAGAAGATAGCAGGAAAATAGAATTGAATGTGGCCTATGTTTCATTATTTGGCATATTGTTCTACCGGGAGTTCTGATTATAATTTAATTACATTTGGGATTATAAAATGATACAGCTTTAGAAAGCTAAAATTAGTACTACAAATGCCTTGTTTTTAATTTTCTCGGTACCATCAATGACACAAATAAACTTCAGAATTATACAGGCAGGCTAAAATTAGACTACGTACAAACTCTACCATATTATACTTAATTTTGTAGAGGTGATTGTCATTCTTCTATATTCTCTTTCTAATTTGTCTTTATTCACATTTTTATAACAGCTGAAACCAGAGGTTAAGTTGCTAAACAATTACGTGAAACCAAATAGTTCCTGAGGGGAGCATATATATTTTACCTGATTTGTTAGACACCCAAATAATTGCTTCTGAAGACACATGGCTTCTATTTCCTACCACAATAGTTAATGGAATCTGCCACAGGTAACTGCAAAATAAAATAGAAGCTTTAGGAATAAAAATGGTTATAACAAATAAACAACATTTGCTATGCACCTTCTGTATGATTTCTGTTATTCTCTTCAGGGGAACTAAAAATTTCCCCAGTCACAAAAGTAAGGCATAAATCAAGAAGATGAATTCACTTCTTCAATACCAATCATCAGACTTAGCCTGTAAGAGTTTTAATTTCAATACAAAAGGAGGACTTTCGACCGAACAATTTATCTTTCAAAAAAAAAAAAGACAATTTGCATTTTGCATTTGAAATAAAAAGTAGCTAAACTCAATAAATCAGAGCCATACCATATATTGATTAAATTTTCAAAATAACTCCTTTCTACTTTTTCTATATTAAATTAATACACATTTCAATGGCTTCATGCATTTACATTTCAACATTATCCTTAACATTTCACAAAACTATCCTAAAAAGTAATATTGTCACATCTTACAGAAAGGTTCATATGACACATCCAATGTTACTCTGCAAAGCAGGAGAGAAAAGCAAAAGTAATCAGATGCCCCTGAATCCAGATCAATACAAAGAACAGAGTGGAACACACTTCCTGCTCTGTTTTCTGAAATGAAATTTCCAAACTGATGTGTGAAATCATCAACCAAGGTTCAGGGATCAGTTCTGAGTCCCAGCTATTGAGAGAAGCATTTTCTAGAATTTGACTTTTAATAGGATAAAAATGGAAGCCTATACTTTTACATGGCGTAGTATCAATTTAATCTCAAATGACCAACCAGAGATAGGCTGGATGGTCTTATGATAAGTTCCATGACTACATTTTGTTTCTTTCCTTGAAGTTGGATTACGTTGACCTATCATCGCACCATTAACAGCAGGGATCACCAACAATATCTAGTACATGCAAAATATTTTTGATTTTATGGAAGAGACACTGTGTGAGTTCTGTAATTGGGAAAGTAAACAGAAAATTGAGAGTTTTTCAGGAAAAATATCCAGGATTATATAATTACAGATATAATGAATATGTTTTGTGGGCATGGGAAGAGAGGGCATCTCTTCTAAATCGGTTATATGGAATGTGACTATTTTATCAGTTCATGTTTCCCATTCACAACAAACAGAAATCAGTAATAACAAATATAAGTGGAAGATTGAAAGAAATTCATAATTTTACACCAATTGCCATCTATAATATGGAAAGTTACAATAGTATGTTTAAAATTCTAAATATTAAAAATATATGCTGTATTTAATCAGTGAAACCTTCTTTTTTTTTTTTGGTTTCTTTTTTGTTGTTGTTTTTAGCGAAACCTTTTTGAATACCAACTACATAGAGACACTAAGCTATACTCTGGTGGGATCCACATGGTTGGTCAGGAAATCAATGATCTATAGTAGCCAAATGTATTGTTTTTATTTTATTTTTTTCAAATGTATTGTTTTTAAAGTAGAAGTCAATGAACATAACCCACATAAGCTCTTTATCAAATACCTCCAAGCTCTAACATAATACTAAGAATATAGTAAATATTTAATAACAGTATTACTATGAGGAAGACAAAGAGAATTGATAAATGTTTCTTTAACAGCTGTTCTCTAAAAATAATGACTCTTTTTTGATTGATTGAAAAAATTAGTTAAGAGACTATAATGCTTGACTGTGCATCTGATTCTCAAAATAAACTATTAGCTTTTATTTTTATACTTAAGATCTTGAAAAAGCCTAGAAATAGAAGGCATTCCATAAATTGCTGTTGAATTGGATCAAATGGGATTAAACCAAAATAAAATGAAAGGGATCAAATCAGTCTATGGGCAAGACAGAGATTAACTTTTATGAACTTGATTTTTTTGGTACGTATCTTCCACATTGAGTTGGGTCAACTAAACTGTGAAATCAAATAAGTATCAGTTAAAGGTCAAGAAATATACAAAATTGACCATGTTTAAAAATCCTCAAGGATAAATGTGCCTTTTTAAAGCATGATCCTAAAATGTGAACTATTATTTGCCTCAGTATAAATAAATATACTTTTGCATTTATTTCAACTGCATTCTCCTAAATAGTGGAAGGTGTAATAAAATTTCTACGGTATGCTTCAATATCTGAGTTTTAGCAAAAGTCTCTACAGTACAAGAAAAAGAGGTTCATATCAATATGTGCATATTGCTAACAGTCAATGCCACCTCCCTACCGGAAACTTCCTACATGTCACAGCATGAATCCTATGGCCATTCAGATGCCAACCAGTTAACTATAAGGTGCTGGGATACAAACACTTGGGCATTTTGCAACACTTTTGAAATAGTGTTCTATATTTTTTTTTCTAAGAATGTTTTTGCCCTCTCTGTGTCCGTGTGTATGCACACAATGCACATGTATATATTGTCACAAAAACAAAATGAAAACTACAAATTACCAAGCATATCAAAAATTTGTACTCATTTCTGAATTGCTATATGACTAATCCTATGTATTATTTTTCTCCTTTCCTTTTTAAGGAAAAATATATTTTTCTCCTTTCCTTTTTTCCTTTTCCTCCTCTCCTTTTTATTTATTTATTTGAGACAGAAAGAGAGAGGGAGAGAGAGAGAGCATGAGCAGTGGGGAGGGCCAGAGGGAGAGACTCCCCACTGAGCAGGGAACCCGACGTGGGGCGGATCCCATGACCCTGAGATCACGACTTAAGTCAAAGGCAGATGCTTAACCAACTGAGCCACCCAGGCGCCCCTCTATATGTTATTTTTCATAACCTTCCAAACAACACATATTTGATCTTTCCACCAATTTAATTTTAAAAATCGAAAGAAAGCACATTACTTTGCGGTTACAACTTAAAAGGGTGGAAGTCACTAAACACTGTTGAGCATAGTGTGCTATTAAAAAAAATCTCAGACTGCAGTGAATGATGTTTGAAAAAAGCTTACAAAAAAGAATTTGTGAAATTAGATTATGTCCCAGCTACCTAAGTTTAATTTTCGTCATCTCATTTTAAGCAGGAAAAAAAAAAAGTCCAAAACAAACACAAAATGCATTTCCACAGACCTCTAAAATATTTTTTCTTTAATATTCCCTGGGATTATCTCTCTCTGTTGTTCATGTTTTTATAATAAAGCAATTTTTTTCCTAATAGTCATGTCAGGGGTAAACAATAATAGGTATTTATTGCAGCTTGAGTGAAAAATCTTTTTTTTAAAAAATGGTACCAATATCAGTGAAGCATTAACATAGACACCATGAACTCTATAGAGGTTGCTGTCACCAGGTCAATAACAAAAGGAAAATATGACTGTGGAGATAATATAATTTTCTATATAGGACAGGACTCTGGGAAGCTCCATGAGTATATGAAGAGATACTCCTCAGCACTGTAATCTATTCACTTCACAAAGAAAAGCTACACGAATTCAGAACTTCTAGGATACCTAAATTCTAGCAAATATCTTATTCACGTCTACATATCACCTAGCTTTATGCAATTATTAGTTATGTAACGATCTTTCTATGCTATAATAGTTATTATGATGAAAAATATAATTACCACAGACATTCAAAACGTTACTGGGTATGTTGTAGTGATGACATTCTAGGATCCTTTGCAAAATTCAAGACAAGGAATGAATGACACTGGCTCAGAAAAGATGCACACTTCATGGGATTTCTTTTTTCATCAATGCAATCTTTTTATCAAATGCAATGTTTTTGCATCAATGCAGTACTTCCTACACCTCCCTACAGCGGGGAGTAAAGGTGTAGGAGGCTACATCCAAAGAACCAATAGGGTAGGTACGGGAGCTCGGACCACACTGTTATTAGAGTGAAAAGCACTGAGCAGTGATGTACAATTGAGGACTAAAATTTTAACTGCAAGCACTAGGATTTCAAAATAGAAAATTATTTTCAAGATCAAAAGGACTCTCATAGATCATCTTACTCTTAATATTTTATACGCCAGGTTCTCGGGGTTCAAAATGACCCATGTGATTTTACAACCCTGGCAAAAGCGAAGTTCTGTTCATGTTACAGACACTCCTAGAGCCTGGGAGAGATTCTTCCTCCAAAGAGTCAGACTCATCGCTGATCCACCTGCCGCATGTTATAGGCTGACAGAGTATTTTTGTTCAAGATTTGTTCTGTCATTTGCGAGTCCTTTATGTTTTTCTGCATCAGTGATGTTTGTGTCAGAGTGATCGTCTCGAAGGCACGGCCTAAATCTCTCTGACTTTGCCACAGTCGAGTCGTTTTGCTGTCCTTCCTGGCAGGGCCGGGGGTGAGCCTGAGCAGCTTAGCCTGGGGCCGGAGGGGGGTCGGAAGCCGTGCATCAATCTAAAATATTTTTTCTTTAATATTCCCTGGGATTATCTCTCTCCATAGTTCCTATATAGAAAATTATATATTTGGCAGCTGTGCCGAAGCCAGGCTGGGGACAGAAGCGCCCACGCAGGCCCACCCGATGGTGCGGCAGGAAAATACTATGTTCCATCGGTTGAAACAGCTGGGTTGCAAGGGCAGTTTGTTGAAGGCCAATGTGTATAGTGATCGAAGACCAGACTTTCCCAAATGACATTCTGAATTTAATACTGGGAAAACAGTCATGGATTTCCCAGTCCCTTCCACCTACAACCCATCTTGGAGCTAGCTTACTTGGGAACCACTGTCATCCACCCCTCTTAGAGATCAAAACTAAAACCAAAAACCAAAACCCATTCATGCTTCACACCTCCTAAATATTGGTGGGTGACCTCAGAGCCCTAATGGGCCAATGTAATGGGAGACAGCATGACCAACCTAATCCAAATTCCTCGCTTTTATTTATTAATTTCAAATTTCATCCCATCTGTCCCTTCCCCCTCCAACATTTTCTCAGGGCACCTTTTAAAAAATGAAATGAACTTATTTAAGTTCTATTATCTAGCTCTGGCTCAGCCTTTAATAGGACACAAAACAGTAAGAAAACATGAAATAGGGGGGATCCCTGGGTGGCTCAGCGGTTTAGCGCCTGCCTGTGGCCCAGGGCATGACTCTGGGGTCCCAGGATCGAGTCCTGCATCGAGCTCCCTGTATGGATCCTGCTTCTCCCTCTGCCTGTGTCCTCTCTCTGTGTCTCTCATGAATAAATAAATAATTTTTTTAAAAAAAGAGAAAACATGAAATAGAAAAGAAACACTATATGCTGTTTCCAGTAATTAAGAGTTTCAAAAGAAAGTTTAACAACAAATGAAAATTCTGTGTATGTTGTCTATTTAGTGGTTTTACACACGGAAACTGAGGGAAGAGAACATATTTTGATGCTAAGTAGCATTGATACTTAGACCATTTAAAAATGGATCTAGTTTGAGTTCCTTTGGCTCAGACACCAGTCTAGTGGTTTTGTTTGTTTTAATTAGTCTTCCAGGATTGTTTGTTTCTATTCTCATCTATTTTATAAATCTCAGTTTTCTCAGTTCTAGTTAATTGACTTCATTGCATCTTAACTTTCTCGAATTAAATTCAACAACCATTTACAGGGAAGTGTAAAAAAACCACATATTTTTCTAAATCACCATGATAATTTAAACTCTGCTTGAACAAAATAACTTTGGTGTGCTGTCACTTTGATGGTTAAAATATCTGGAAATAGGAGTAAAAGAGGAATGAAAATGAAAATACCATATGTAAATAAAGAAATGAAAACCATATTTCACTTACATTTTATAATTATCTTAGCAATCCTTTCTGAAATGTTAAAAAGGCAAAGTGAAACCTAAGAACAAAAGCAATTTTTTTCATGTTAAAGAGTGTCGTACCTGTTATTTTGAAGTTGGAGTGCTTTAGTTTTAGCACTGATGTCATAGATAAAATGTTGTTGGGTAATTACTATTCTATTTTCCGCCGTCAAATTCCCCAAGATGGTGATTACAGGATAACCCATCTGGAGTGTCCACTGATCCATCACTTCTTGTATATTTACAAATTTCCCATTCCTTTTTAAAGCCTTCATAACCCAAATTGTATAAATTAGTTTTATAAACATGAATTATAAATATAATTAACATTAAACCATTTTTATGTTTACCTTTATGATTTACTTAAGTATGAAAACATGTAAAATCGGTGAAGCTAATATAACATGTTAGTAAAATTAATCTCTTTGCCTTAAGTCAAGCTTCATGTAGAGAAATGAAAGCTTTATTAGCATTAAAGTTTTTACTTAATGGAAGATAAAACACAGTCGATTGTTAAAACAAGTACTTGCAGCATCGTTAAGTACCCCCAGTGTGTCTAGAACCAAATTTAAATATTTGTTACTCACCTATAGAAAGAACTACTTTAATATCAATATTTCTCTCAAACGTGAATATCTGACAACATATGCATGTTATATTTCAGAAGTCTTGTCTTGTTTGAAAGTAGGCAGGGTACTTTTTACAATCACTTGCAGTTTAATTTTTAACCCCATTTTATAATATAAAATATCAAAAACAAAGTGATAAAGCAATATGAGGAAATATAAAAATTCAAAACAACTGCCAATGTCAATAAAAGTTATGAATTGCTTATAAACTCAATTCAAATATTCAAGAAAAGGTTTTGGCATTCAAGCTTCCTGTACTTTACCTCTGACAGTGTATTCCAGAGATCGTTTCTGGCTGCATTGCCATACTTATGAATGGTTAAATAATCCTACAAAGAATATAAAATTGTAATTACAATTTGAAGGCTAAGCCATTTCCAGTAAACACACTGATTTCCCGACTCAACCATTTCCATTTGTTAGAATTGCATTAGGACAAAGACAAAGACATGGAAAAAGGTGAAGAATCTTACTTAAAAATATCCCAAAGAGCTTTAACTATAACATATTTCTTAATTAAGTCATCAAATGATACTGGTCTATTAAAAATTATTTTCATCGCCATAATCATTTCTTCTGGATTTCCAGGATCAAAGGCCTTCCTCTAATTGAGCAAATCGGCCTCAAGCAGTTTTATAGAGACTACCTCTGCAGTGAAATATTTAGGGGAAACTCCTCCGTCAGGCTTCCCTGTTGAAGTGTCTGAAAAAATTCTGTTTTAGGGAAAAGAGAAAACAACAACAGAAACCTGGCTGATACATGCTGGTGTGAAGAGGAACTGGCAAAGGCCAAGAGAGTGAGGACTGTCTCCACAAACTGTCAGATTCCCTAGTCTCTGCAAAGGACAGGCTGCCTAATCCAGAAAAAGAGACATACTTCCATGAGCTTGAAACATATACTCACACTTAATGAGAAAAAGTTAATCCTGAGTTTATTTGATATTTTTGAGTATAGACTTCCCATTTCCCAATTTTCCCCCACTAGTAGTTAAACCCACACACTTTCTGTGTACCCCATGGCTGCTCCCTTCTACAAAGCATGGTCTACGTATGTCACCGAATGTTACTTGCTGATGGCCAATTGGTGTTATTCTTTTTCTGAATCCAAAGTACAAAAATGAATAGAAAACTGTGTTTTATATTATAAAAAAGAGAGTCTCCTCCATGTGAAATTCCATCCTCTTTACAACATGTAGGTAAGCAGACAAAAGTCCTCATTTACATCACAGTACTAAAAATGAAAAAAAGAAATCGCTGACTCTTTTCAGTACTTTGTGTAGAGTGGAATACTTTGGGGATAATTAAACTTGGGGAAGACATTTTTCTGAAATACAAATTGTAGCACCTGTGACAGATTCAGCTTTGTTGGCAACTCCCAGCAGAGCAAATGGCAACTCCCACCTAATCAGACACTACAGCTGTCATGCCCAACACTACCTTAGCAACCACAAATCCATCATTGTCAACAGGGATTATGAATAACTTTATTGAAAAAATACAACCCCGATAGCCAATGCGAATTCCACTCTTGGCTTTGAATATGCCATATGAGCCATTTTCCATTAGAACTCAGGGACTAGGATTTAAATAAATTATTTCAGATTTAACTCTCAGCATTGTCTCTAAATGGATCTAAATGGATCTTTTAGCATCTAAATGGATAAATCCAGAAACGGTATGAATTTTGAAACACAAATTTGAGTTTTACTTTAGTGGTGCAATAATTTTTAAAAGTATCAATATTAGAACTATTTATTGGATTTGGCTTACGGATAGCGCTGCTAGGATAATCCCAAAAGAGGGAACAAAGCAATGCCCCCACGGACTTTGAAAGGTCCAATACCTAACTACAGGATTCTCTTCACAGACAGATCTTAAAACTCCAGCTGTTCACGATATGAGTTGACGTTGGCCCAATACTGATCATCAACTCAAGCTCTTGGTTCCCTCCCCAATTCAGAATAAAGTGCAAATTTACATTTCATGTGGGCTGAAATGGCAATTATCCAGGTTTAGGAAGCAGATCTGACTTGCTTGCCTCGGAAGTCAGGGCAGAAAGCATCTTCTTGGATTCCTAGCAGTCCCAATTTTCAGGTGTTACTGGAATTCTAACACATGTCAACTCTTTTTTTTTTCCTTCCAAGCAAAGAGAAAGTGAACTAAAACACTTCCCAAGTGTGTTCCTTAGTTATTTTACCCATCCTCTTGCATGAAAATAGTCCTATCCTAAGCTAAGGAAATTGTGTTTTGTCCTTGTTGAATTACAAAGAAGCTTCCAGAATAGTAAATGTGGTTTTTTGGTAGTCATTTATTTATTCATTCATTCCACAAAAAGTGGGGTGTGCTTTGCAGGTGCCTGTGGCTTCCACATGCTGGGGGAATGGTGCTGGAGAGGAGGTTACCGAGAACAACAGCAGATACTGAGATGGGATTCGTGTAGGACGGTCTCTGCAACTAAAACCGTAGTCTTTGCACCAAAACTGCCTGACAAGATGAATTCAAACGTTTGGTATGCAATTAAATAAGAAGATTTTAAGTTCCTTTCAAACCTACAAGTTGATGAATATGAAAAGGGCTGCGGTTATGAATCCGAAATGGAAACTTATGATTATATGTATGTGTATGAAAGTCAATCGGCAGTAGATTTGACATTATGATATAAAGTAGAAGAATATTTTAATATTAACTGTAGAAAGAATTAAGGGTTCTCTAGACAAAGAATTTCAGAAATAGAGGAGCTGTTGAAAAGACAAAAACATGGATGACCACTCGAATATTCTTAGGGGACAAAACCAAAATTATAAACTGATTAAAGCTTAAAGGCCTTTTGAGCAGAAAGATCTTATGATACATAAAGTGTGGAATGGGAATGTGACGGCCTTGTCCAATTCCCCGCCAACACCGCCCAGCTACGTGGCTTTGGCGAGTCGCTTAACCTCCTTGTGCCTGTTTTCATGCCTATAAAATGGGGAGATGATAGTACCTGCTTCGTAGGTTTATGTTAGGGCATCAAGCATGGAGTGTCTGGGCAGTATTGCCAGTGACGCGGGCCGAGCACACAGCAAGTGTTCAGCAGACATTAGCTGCGTAAGCTTTTTATTTGTTTTTTTTTAAAGATTTTATTTATTCATGAGAGACACAGAGAGAGAGAGAGAGAAGCAGAGACCCAGGCAGAGGGAGAAGCAGGCTCCATACAGGGAGCCCGATGCGGGACTCAATCCCGGGACCCCAGGGTCACGCCCGGGGCTGAAGGCGGCGCTAACCCACTGGGCCACCCCGGGCTGCCCCACCGTAAGCTTTTCAATCCCTTCAGGTGGCCAGTTGGAAACAGAGCGGTGGAAGGAAGCGCATCACTGACAAGAATAACCAAGGACAGAGCACATGCAAATCATACCATCTGCCTCCTTTTTAGCCCCGTGTGAGCTGCTCTCTATTTCATCTCAGGGTCGATGGCATCATCATCATCATCACCATCACCATCATCATCACCATCACCATCATCACCAGCTAATACATGAGGACGCTGTAGTCAGAGGCGGGCCCGGGTCAAGCCCCGCACCAGGACCGTGCATGCACCTGCCAACATGGCCTGACACCTGCTGGAAGCTGAGCTCCGCGGCCTCGGTGGCAGCAGCACCCCCCCGCCAGGCCCGTGCGCCTCCCCCCGAGTCCTCCTCTCCCCCACAGTAGCTGCTGCCCCCACCTGCCCTCTTGGGGAGGGCCGCACCACTGGCTGGGGGCCACCTTTATGTCACTTTCTTTGCTGACAGGTGACACGAGCCACAGTCCTTCACATGCAAAAGCCAACGGGACTCATAAGTAATGAGGAGAAGAGGAATAATGATGCTCCACTTGCGTGGATTAAAGATGCCCCCCCGGGGGGGGGGTCCCTTGGCTGGCGGCACCGAGACCCGGGCCTGCAGACGGCTGGGCCGTGTGTGCTGAGCTGCCCGGTGCAGAAGCTCCACCCTGGGGCCACCTGTGTGTCGCCAAGATCTGTGCCTCCTGTTGTAAGAGGGTGACACAGCACAGCCCCGCCACAGGCCTGGGCCCGCCTCGCTCTGCCTGCTGGCCCCGATCTCAGCCGGTGGTCCAGGGCACCCACTCCTTCCCAGGAAGACCCAGGGCCCCCCCTGGGTCTGGCATCAGCCCTCCACCTGGCCCACCAGCCACTACAGCATCAGGCACCCGGGGGCATGACACGGGCGAGTCCGGGCCACAGGCACCCAGGCAGCCAGCGCCCTTCTACCTGCAAGTGCATCCTGGGGACATGCCAGCAAAGGTGGGCATCGGTTTTTCCGACTATGTGACAAGAAGGCCAATGTAGGGGCCTGAAAGACTGTTCCTTTCTATTAAGAACAATTGTGCCTCAAAAAATTTGTAGTGGGCATTTGTCATCCCTTTGGCTTCCCAGCGTTGAAACCCCACGTTGATATGGGGGCAATAACTGCCCATGGGATCATGCAGGAAGGGGAGGGCCCCACCTCCCGTTCGCTGTAGAAGGGACCAAACCATAAATCCTTGCTCCCCTGACCCCCCCACTCAGGCAGCTAAAGCAGGCACATGAGCCCGGGTCCCAGAGGAGCAGATACTTCATCCCAGGGCTGTGATTCCTGCAGGATCAGTGCAGAGAAGTAGGGCCCACGGGAAGATGACCCCCCCGTGATGGTGACACTGTGATGGTGGCTCTGGAGGGAGCTAATGGCAGCAGCTGAACCAGCCATCCCTGTGGCAGGACCTCGGTGAGGTTTCCCAACATCTGAGTCCTCCTCAGCTCTGTTAGCCCAGTTCTCCAGCCTTCCCAATGATTCCAAGGGCTACCCTACACCCTTCAAAAACACTCCTCTCTGCCTAATGTAGCCAGAGTTCCTCTCAACTGCTCGCAACCCCAAACCCTGACTCATACAACACTAATGGGGGATTTGATCAAAACAACACAAATGTCTTAAATGTTCTTGGTGACCTTAGAAAGAAAATAGAAATTTTCTCATGCAACTCACACAAAATGAAAAGCAAAGAGTACCCAGTTCTATGGAATAAACCTTCTAGGCTTTCATTGTTTTATAAACAGTAGGGTTGTGGGGGCAGGGAAGGAAGGGGGTAGATACTTAAGCTAAAAAAAGAAAAAAAAAAGAGGCAGACAAGAAGATTGGAGAAAAAGTATACAAGTTCCCCAGACAGGAGCACACCAAGGGTAACAACAATAAAATTTAAACTGTGTTAAACTTTTGTCTGAAAGAAGGCAAAAAAGAAAGAACAGGAGCTTTTAAACTGGGAACCTAAAGTTGAGAAATGAAATATTTGTGAGTGGGTGCATTACTACAGCAGGG